GTGGCCGACGCGGGAAAGGGAGGGGGAGGTGGTCGGTGCAACTGGCGGGAGAGGGGAAGAGGTGGCCAGCCGCGCCGACGGCGGGAGAGGGAGGAGAGACGGCCGTAGTTCCAGCCTGCGGAGAAGCGCGCCCCGTGACCGCCCATGCTACCATGTTCTCGGAGCCGTCGGACGTGTCGTCGTCGGCTGGGTGTGGCGCCGACTTCCCGCTCGTGTGCGACTGCAACTCGGCGGCCACTGGCTCGCCGGCCTCCTCTTCCCCCTCTCCCGCCGCCGTAGTTGCCGCACCCATGCTTCCCCCCGACCACGATGCCGCCACCTCCGCCATGGCGTCCTCCGAGGCCCCCGCGCCGCAGGAGCAGAGGAGGAGGGTAAGTCGTCGGACGCGTAGTCGGCGGCGGGGGGCCGGCGTCGAGCTCCTGTCCGCGTGCTGCTGCGACTCGGCAACAACCGGCTCGCCGACCTCCTTTTCCCCCTCCCGCCGGCACAGCCGGCCATTGTGGTATCCTCCTCCTCCTCCTCCGCGGCGGCGGCAGGGGGCGGCATCGAGCTCCCGTCCATGTGCGGCTGTGACTTGGCGACAACCGGCTTGCTGGCCTCCTCTTCCCTCCTCCCGCCAGCACAGCCGGCTGCCGTGATGTCCTCCTCCTCTTCCGTGGCGGCGGCGGAGGCCTCCTCCGCTGTGACAACCACAGGTTGAGATAAGAAGCAAGGAGAGAAGAGAGAAGAAAGAAAGAACGAAAAAAATAATAGATGTGGGGCTCACGTCATTTTCTCTTACACGTGGGTCTCACATATTTTATTTTTATTTTTTCTGACTAGGATGTCACATCAGTGAAACCGGACATCTATACTTCTACGGAATTTAAATTACATGCCTTTATATAGTTTAGGAGTGAATTTAAAGTCGAGGACCGGTAGGTGAATTTATTCCAAAATATTGGCCTACCTGTTGTTTTCAAGGTTTCGACGAAACGGAGGCCCAGAAACGGCCCAGTGTACTGGCCCAGGACAAGCCGAAGACGGACGCACGCAGCAGGCACAAGTGCAGAACGGCGAAAGTTCACTAGCCCGACCAACTGATAAGAGCTGCCGTTTTTTCATGGCAGCATCACAGGCCTGTTGATCCATGCATATACTGTACTACGCAGTAGTGCTCATCGAATAAAGACGGAGTTTTTAGGTTTGATCTATTGCCCGGTCTACGGAAGTGAAAAGAGTACTGGTACAAATACAAGTGGGTTTCTCTTTTATTGTTTTCTGGCATGATCGTGCATTCGTGCGTGCTCACACTGTCACACATCAGCTATATATTCTCCTCGAAAGGCAGGCATCGGCTATATTCTCGAATTATCAAATTCTAAGACCCACACTTGTTCTCTAAACTAACAATAAACACTACGAGGTCTTATGCTTATTAACTGCTAGTCCTAGTTGGTTGTTTTAGCCGAGATAATGAGATTTAGAGAGAGAGAGAGAGAGGGAGAGAGAGAGAGAGAGAGAGAGAGAGAGAGTATAAAAGGTGTGGCGTGTACACGACCGATTCCTTTTCGCTTCGAGGGTAGGCAGCTAGCAGCACATGGCCGGCAAAACAGTTTTGCAGCAGGAGAGATTCATCCGTTCAATTCGCTGCACCCTCTCATTACCTTTCTGAAACTTTTTCTTAAGTCCAGATGATGACGGTAATGACGTGTGGATTCCCTGAAAAGAGGGAGGGGTACATGATGATGATGATGATGATGGGCAATAGGAATACGAGTTGCTATCTCACAAGCGAACTCGTCGCCGCGAGCAACGGCCGATCGAGCAGGGCAAGGCATGCGGAGGGAGTGGAGGAGAGGACCCTTGGCAAGCTCGATCGGGCGCTTCTTCCGCTCCAAAATCCACGAGGTTCAGGCCGTCCGGCAACAGGGATGGCTCCTCCGTTCGTTATTCCCCTCCTGCAAGGGCCGCATCTAATTGATCTGACCAACTTGCAAGGATAGTCATTAGTCATTGATTACTCGTTAGGTGCTCAGGTATCTGTATATATTTCGGCTTCGTTGCAAAGAGACAGCTGACAGCCGTCGGCCCAAGAGCCCACACTTTGAGTGGCGATATAAAGCAAATATTTCAGGGTGGGAATTGTCCTGATTCATGTGAGATTGCATTTCGTTTTGTTTATGTGAAAAACCTGAAATATACTTGTGAATAGTACTTTAAATCTAATAGATTGTGCCCCCCTTTTTTTAATATGCAGATTTTACCTAGGTTTCCGTTAGTATATATGTTTTTCAAACTGCTAAACGGTACACTTTTACAAAATCTTTTTATATAGAAGTTGATTTAAAATATAAAATATTTTTTAAAGTTTGTAACAATTAAAACTTAATTAATTATACGCTAATGTCTTCTCGTTTTATATGCGCTAACTTTGACATCTATCTCAGTAGTCCAATATTTATGTTGAGAAATTTCTTACATCCTCCCGAATTTTCGCTCGATCCTTCCATTCCATGCCTATGAACTTTAGCTTATCCCCTACATATTTTTCATTTTGATTCCCTGTTGTGATAATTATATATCAAAACCTTTGTTTTTATGAAATTTAATCTTTGAAAAATATATAATGGGAATAGGTGGGGTGAAAGATTTACTGTCACCACTATCTTTTTTCAAAATAGTATAGATATTAGGTTAGAATATGCAATGCTGATCTAACCTATTAAGACGAATTTCTGTTCTATAATCTCAGGGGAGGGTGACTGGATTAGCAACCCTGAAACACTAGCCACCTTTGATGCTCTGTGCCTCTGGCTAAAGGGGGGCAGAGACTAGGTTGACCCTTTTTACTCATTAGTAACATGTATTAATGTTATAGGGTATGTTTGGTTCTCTACTTTGCTAAATCTTTGGTGCCAAAATTTAGTAAGTTTTAACTCTACCAATTTTTTTGGTAGGGTAAAGTTATGATACATATATTTGGATTGTTACCAATGTGAAGCCAAAATTTGATGATATAGTGAAGAAAGTTTTAGAATAATGCTAAACTGTTCAAAGGCATTGCCAACAATTTGGTTTTGATACAAAACATTCACTAGTACTATCCAAACTACCAATGAATTGGTCCGACACATTTGGCATCAATCCGAAATAACCCATATTGCTTATTACGGAGTAGTGAACCTCCTTATTTTAATGCGTGATTTTTTAGATATGTTTGATAATTAGTCTTATTTTTTTAAAAAAAATGCAATAGTTGTTATATATTAAAAACGGAGATAGTACTGGTCAATCTTTAGCTTTAGCTGCGCATTGCAAAATCCTAACAAACAAGCACGAGCAGAACGGCAGGACGACGTACCACTCCAACCTTATCTCTACTTTATACTGTTATAAAATTGAAAATGTTTTTACCAGTACTTTGGTACATCGTCCGTGCATGAGTCAGTTTTTAAGTTTGTTCGCTTTTGGAAATACAAATATGTATTTGAGTCGGTTTTTAAGTTCGTTCGCTTTTGAAAATACAGAAGGAATCATATAAGAAATATTTTTAAAAAACTCACATGCTAACATGAGACAACTGGACTCCTAATTGTAGCTCATAATTTTCTAAAAAATATATATATCCAAACAAGTTCTCATAGTAGATTTTATCTTAACTAAAACGTATAATAACAATAATAAAATTAAAATAACATTCTTCCGTAGCAATGCATGGGTATTTTTTTTATATTAGTAAAGGATGATGGCAGTGAAAGTACTTAAACACATTCACGTGTTGGCCATCAACGAGAAAAAAAAAGCACCCCAAACCACAAACATAACCACTGTAGCACGTAGTGGCGACCGGCCGACCAGCCGGTAGCGGAGATAACGTCAAACCGCGCGCTCCGTGTCATCGCTCACCGAAACCTAAACACCCACGCCCTCTCTTATCCAAATCAATCGCACTCACCAAGCCCGCACCACCACGTACACGAGACATCGCTAGCATTGCACTCCCCGTGCGCCGCGCCCGCGCACGTATCGCTCCTGCAGCGATCGAAATCCCCCCCGTGAATCCGTGATCCGCAGCCACCACGCGCGCGGCGCCCGGCGCCCGGCAACGGCAAGCAGGTCAGCAGCAGGGGCCGCGCGCGCGGCCGGGCGCTGCGATCCTGTCGGGTCGTTTTCGCGGCCAAAAGCGGCGCACTCCACCGTCGCTTTGGCACGTACCGGCGCGCCGGTTGGCCGGGGCTCGGCGGCCCCACGCCATAAACTACGAGGCATCTGGAGATATGATGCATATGGCCAAGATCTCGTGCTGACAACATATATACGTGCTCGATCGTACCACGGGGGGGATCTCGCTCTCTCTGCCCTTTGACATTTGCACAAAGTCAGTGAGATGAAAAGGGGAGGACAATGGACACGGGAGGGAATAATAGCCGGCGCCTGATGGCTCTAGCAGTCAAGGTGCAGGCAATAATAGGGGCGGTAGTATTAAAAAAAAAGGGCCAAGTGTAAAAGTTTAATTCCCCCCACACTCGCGTCTTTTATGGCGCGAGAGGCGAGAGAGAGCTCGAAGATTCCAGCCCTTTTGGTTCTCCTCTCTCTCTCTCTCTCCCTTTTGACATTTGGACAAGTCAAAGAAAACAATACGGGAGCCTATCGCCCTAGCCTAGCAAGCAAAAGAGGCGAGGCGACGACGATCGATGGGGTCCCTCTTGACAAGTGTACATAGCAACAACTGATAGAAGAATCCCTTTCCAAACACCAGCAAGCTGCTGTCCCATTTGGCGACTAGTTTATCACCAATTACGACTTGTTTATCGCCAATTATCGGCATATCTCTTTTTTCCTAATCGCTTGCTCCCGCCGTGCCCACCACTAGTAGCGTGGCGTTTGACTCTACTCCCGCTAGTCGCTAGCTAAGCCAGTGGTACTAGTAGCTAGCTAGTGACACTTCAGAATCCTCTCGGAATACGCGTCTATGTACAGGGATACGCGTGTATATATGGCGCGGCCCGGCCAAAAGTCAACCCCCCGCCTCCGGCGCGAGCTCGCAGCAGCACGCGTCCTTTTAGCTGCTAGCTCACCTCGTCAAACTCTCGCCTCTCCCCCCACAACGCGAGAGCTTGCCGACGTCGGCGTTCATGCGCGGCCCGCTGCTGCTGCGCGCCGTCGTCGTCGTCGCCATGGAGCACTTCAACGACTGGGACCTGCAGGCCGTCGTGCGGAGCTGCAGCTTCCCGCAATCGGAGCCTCCTCGCGTCGGCGTCGGCGTCCCCGCGGCGCCGGGAGCGGGCGGGGCTCCGGTGGTGGTGGCGCCGCCCGCGCGCGCACCGGATGGTCCGGATCAGATGGCGCGGGCGTCGGCGTCGGCGCTGTACGACCTCGAGTACCTGGATTTGGATCATAAGCCGTTCTTGCTGCCCGGGTCGTCGTCTTCGTCGTCGTCGTCCCGAGCGGTGGCGCGGGCGCGAGGGGAGGATGACGGCAAAGGCAGACACGAGGTGATGATCTCTTTCCCCGCGGCGGCGGCGGCCTCCACGTCCGGTGCGCAGCCGCGGTCGCCGTCCGGTCGGAAGCCGGGCATACGCACCCCGCGGCCTAAGAGAAGGTAGTACACACTACTAGTTTGCAACCGTTTTACGTACCAGCGCATTGGCAGCCTGATCGCTCCAAGAAAATTCTCAGCTTATTTCGAAGTGATCGATTATTGTGATTTCCATGGTGTGAGGAGCAGCAAGAAGAGCCAGCTGAAGAAGGTGGTGTACGAGGTGCCGGTGGCGGACGGCGGCGTCTCCTCCGACCTGTGGGCGTGGCGCAAGTACGGCCAAAAGCCCATCAAGGGCTCGCCTTATCCACGGTAACTAATTATTACCAACACTTTCTTTGACCCTGCCGTCCCCTTTCCACGCGTCACTACTCACTAGCTACTCCTGCATATCACCATAATCATAGCGTTGGGAAACCTAAAATTGAAGGAAATGAGCACATAAATTTGATATTTTTATTACATAATGGCATATAAATAACCTGCTGCACATTGAGATCTTGAGATTATGGCCACAACAATCGAATGCAATGCCTTGCGTTTCCAATTGGACATCATGGCTTTGGTCACGCTCCACGTGACATGTACTTCCGGTGTAGTACAAGGCAATTCCCTGTACTTAGCAGTACAATCGGCTGTAAGCATGTATACTTTGCAGTTGACCTAATGACCTGTGCGCTCGGCTCAACTAACTTGGCGATACGATGGTTCGTTGGGTGGTTGTGATGGATACAGGGGATACTACAAGTGCAGCAGCATGAAGGGGTGCATGGCCAGGAAGATGGTGGAGCGCAGCCCGGCCAAGCCCGGGATGCTCGTCGTCACCTACATGGCCGAGCACTGCCACCCCGTGCCGACCCAGCTCAACGCGCTCGCCGGCACCACCCGCCACAAGTCCGCCCCTACCGGCGACGACGACAAGCCGACGTCGCCGGGCCCTGCAGCCGGCAGAGCGGCCGCCGGCGAGGGAGTGGTCAAGTGCGAGGACGTCGACGGCAACGAGCTGTCGGCGATGGCCGCGGATGGCGGCGCAGAGGACACGGCGGCGGCGGCGGATGACGACGGTGAGTTGTGGCCGGAGGGGATGGGGCTGGAGCTGGACGAGTTCTTGGGTCCCATGGATGACGACGTGTTCGAGTTCGACCATGTCTTGGAGGACGACGGCGTGCTGGGGCGACGGCTCTCGCTATAGCTGCAAGAGAAAAGCTGTACTAGCTAGCTTTGACGAGCCTTTTAGGACAGTTGACTGTCAGCTCCAACCTCTTCAGGAGATCCAAGCCATGTATAGGCGGTTTTTATTCGTGCGTGTTTGTGGCATGATCTCTCTCAAGTCAAGGTTCCAAGTTTCAAGTTTGCACAAGTGTATATACTTGTAATATTCGCAGGGATGTCAGTGCGCATTGACACTTTTGCATTCCTGTACATAATTCTCGTGGTTGGTGACTTTGTCCCAACACGTGGACCGGGCTCAAAGGGAAGTGACAGCTTCAGTGCAGTTTGCCTGCTTGCCAGATTGCTATTGTAACATCCAAGGGACAGTGCAGATAAGAGCATCCCCAGCGGCTCCTCTATCCAGACATCGATACTGTGTTTGGTGTATGGAGGTGAAAAATTGCACTCCAGCAGAATCTCCATCACACACGCCATTTTTATAGGTCCTCCAAACCGGGGAGTGGATTTTAATCCCTCAAGGGGATATCCCCTCGTATACCTTTTTCTTTCAAATTCGATGCAAATAGTTGTGAAAAATTCTGAAAAAAATTGACAATGTAGAGTATAATGATACCTACTAGTCCACCAAAATTTATGTTCAAATTCGATCTACACATCGAGAAACAAAAAAGACAAATTTAGATATAAACAGTGCACTACTATTCATACGCTGAATTTGTCTTTTTTATATCTCGACGTGTGAGTTGAGTTTGGACTTAAGATTTTGTGAAGTTGTATATATGTGTTGTATGAATATTGTCAAATTTTTCCAGAATTTTTCATAACCGTTTAGATGGTTTTTGAGCAAACGAGGAAACATCCCCTCGAGGGATTAGAATAGTTTCCCTCCAAACCGAGCCTTTCACAAGCCAAAAATGGCGGTTCTCTCTCCTCATGCCATCCTCAACTGCCGACCTCGCGCCACTATATGGACTGCATACCGTGGGAGAGAGGAGCTGCATACCGGATTTGGAGGTGGAGATCGCCGGAGTAGAGGTGGAGAGGCAGCGGATCTGGCAGTGAGGTCGCCGCCGTCCCCGCCGCTCGGGGTCTCTGCCGCTCCTCTGACCCCGCCGCCCCTCTGCCCCGCCGCTCCTCCGCCGCCCCTTCGCAGAGACTGGGTGGTGGTGGTGGCGGCGGGCCATCGGCGGGAGGAGGAGGGAGATGGACCCACCGGGAGGAGGAGGGAGATGGACCCGCCGGCCGTCCCTTGCGCCGCTCCTCCGCCCCTTCGCCCCTTGCGCCACCCGCATCGCTCCTCCGACCGCGCCGCCCCTTTGCCCAGCCGCTCCTCCGACTGCGCCGCCCCTCCGGTTGGCCCTCATCCTCCCCGTCCTCTCGGCGCTGGTGGTAGAGAAGAAAGAAAGGTGGGGAGATCGGCGGTAGAGAAGACATACAGATGGGGAGTTTTTTTTTAGAGTAGTGATAAGTATGTGGTAGTTGTAAAATATTAGTAAAATATAGGATGTTGGTATATAGAGGATGTAATATAGATGATCTGTTAGAGTGAAAAGTAATATGGAGTAGGTATCTTTTTTATGACTATCTAAATGGGAGTATGGAGGATAAAATTTAGATGAGCTGCTGGGGATGCTCTAAGCTTCCTCCTACCGAACATTATATTTGAAGTTTTGAATGGCACAACACCGCAATATCCACTAGTAATATATGTTACTATAAAAGAAGGATTCGATTAAAAAAATACAGAAACTTCTTGATCTCTTATTTCTGAACAAAATCAAATGAATTCAATGTATCTTTGCACTCTAAACATCGGAACAAATGTTTGCAAAGCAAAAGACGTATAAATTGCACACCTTACAAGTCTGCAAGAATTGCAGTAAAGAATATATACTCCAAAATTATCAAGTGGATTCATTACTCGTCACCATTTCTCATGAAGCATTTACTATCTCTGTTCTAAAATATAAAAGATTTTGTCCATGCACTTACATAGATATGACATATCTATTATATTTTTAGAACGAAGATAGTAGACATTAAGCTATTATCTTCTTTGTGCTTCGCTAGTTGCCATCTACTGATCCACGTCTACAAATATCCGATGATATCAACAAATACATTAAACGAGCACATCTTTTTTGAATCAGTTGCATACATACAAGGGGAATGCACGGGTCTCCAACCACCAGTGCTGCAGGATCGGAGAGAGAACAGGGGAGAGGGAAATATGGCTAGCGGAGCATAGATTATTAAAGGGGAACAATCGAGGAAAGAGTACTGAAGAACCTGCATGCTGTACGTAAGATACATTAGGTGCTTGTTTCTAATTTTTTCTTCAAACTTTTAACTTTTTCATCACATTAAAACTTTCCTACACACATAAATTTCTAACTTTTTTCTTCAAACTTCCAATTTTAGCGTGAAACTAAACCAATTTTGGCGTGAAACTAAACACAGCCTAGCCTGCGGAATTGATTATTTTTCGATGGAAACTGAGCAATTATTTTTCGATCGAAACTCAAACAATTATTCTAACACTCATTGGTTGCATATATTTGTGTTAAGTTATTTTATTTTTGTTGTATGCATATGTACGTTTTTTAATCTAAGTCTTTGTCTATGTTACAATAAGATGAGTTTTTTTTTATATTGGACATAAAAAAAATACTCTAGACTTTCAGATGGGAGAGTAAACAGATAGTCAACAAACTAACTGTGAGCATTGTAGAGGCTACAATTAAGACGAACATCGCATTTCAGGGATGATAGGAGATACAGCACTACTTTGCAATATTAGTAAAACGACAGAGCATTCTGCACTTCGGAGCAAAGATTCAGATAACGTATTCTTGTGTCCAGATGTATCTTCCAAAACTAGGATAAAGTCTTAGACAAGCTAGCCTGTCACACAGAGAGCTTACAATATGGAAACGCAACGAAGAGCATCACACAAAATCCAACTTGACAATGATGCGCGAAATCTCCAGCCAAGTGATGACTCACGACGATAACGAATTTACAGCATGCACGAACCGAGATCTTAGTACTCCCATTTCTTAAGCTCCATCCCATCAGGTGGGCTTCCCTCTACCTTCTTCGAGCCAACATCTTTCCAATTGGTCGACAGAACAGTACCGTTAGATTCAACCTGCAAACAAGCACATCGTTGATGTATAAGTATACAAAGTTCAAACTTACTAAACGCACTTCTGTCAGCAAGGTCACTAGTTATAAACATTTCATCAATTGTGCTAAAGAAAGACATACAAAAGATTTCATCATTGCTCGTCGCATGTCTTCATCAGCATCACTGTAGATGTCACGGAAAAATTTGTTCAATGCAGCATCGCCTTCAAGCTTCTCCTCCTTCTCCTGTTGGAAATTCAAAGTCATGGCAATTCAATAATTACCAGAGTTCAAGGAATGTCCACAGGCAGTGAAACGTTGAACCATGTGCATCATACTAACCTCCTTTTTAACTTCAGCTTCCAGTTTATCCCAGTCTTTCTTGGATTTTGAGGAAGGATATGATGGCCTCTGGGCCGATTCAGCTGATAAAAGAAGGGCTATCAGTAAAACTGTAGGAGAGATGGGGAAAGAATAACAATTGAACCCCAAAAAAAAGCCAGACTTGATCTTGGTTGTATTCCAGTCATGTACAGTTCATGCTTAAGCCGATCTGGCAGTAAACCATCAGCCTCAACAAGGTATTAGCAAGATAACACTCAGAACCCTCTTCCATTTTCATTTAAATTCGATTACCAATTTTTTGTGACATTAATGTGTTCAACAAGCACAGGAACCAGCAAAATGGAAATGACTAGCCTGACATGTGAGCCAGCGATCAGCAAGTGCATAGAACGGCAGACCTTATTGATAACTACCACATGAATGGAAAAGAAGTCATTTCTTTCCATGGCTATAAATCAGCTCACCAGTTACTAACATAAAGCAGTAAATAATTATACCCAGCAAAGTACAGATATTTAAGGGGAACCTCTTATAATAAGATTGAACAGTGCAACTTTCAACTAACCACAAGAAGCAACACAATAGTAGGTTCAACAGTTTTCTGGAAATCAACTGCAATAGTTTTGCTTAGTTTGTTACCTGGAGGGATTATCTTTTGTGGAACAGCCTTTGGTTTTTTATCATAATCAAGTGAGGTCCATGTAATCTGTTCAGCTTTAGCCAGTCTTATTTCAACCTTCGTGGATAGCACTTGGTATCTGCTTTTCTCAGGGATGATCTGATAGTCAAGAGATTAGCAAAAGTTAAGAGGTGAGATGATTGGTACTGTGCATAGAAATCATAATAAACAGATGCTGAGTATTGGTTTTCAAAAAGAACTGTATGTATGGATCAACAGCAATGCAACCAAAGAAAATAGGCAAAGCAGTACACCCAGCTTTATTAGGTTTGGAAGCATATTTCAGGTAAATACCTTACAAATTAGAGGAAATGCACAAACATATTCAGGTCATAACAATATGCACTGTTTCCATTTCCAATGCATTAAGAAGAGAAATAATCCTGGTATTGCAGGGATTGCATACCTTAGAAAACAGACGAGGCTGAAAATGGTACGGCTCCTCTCCAGGGACTTCAATCGACACACTTAACTAAAATGGAAGGCTTAATTAGTGAGCACAGTAAATTAGTAAATATAGATGATTTGCAACAATTTATTGTTAAGGTACACACCATTTGTTCACCAAAATCAACAACAACATTCTCAGCAGGAACACCCTTTGCAAAAATTGTCAATACAACTTCTGTAGCACTGTTGTAGAAGTCGTGCCTGCAACACCAGGTGCATTTCCAGAAAATGTCAGTACCAAATCATTGGGGTTAAAATCCAGCCCTAAGAAGCACTTGGTTTAGTGTCTGAGAAAGGGTGTGGGACATTATCCCATATATTCATGTGGATTCTGTCAAGTGGTTTCCAAAATATAAAGTGGACCCCTCAATTCAGAATAACTTGATACTTGACTAAAGAACTGTATTGGGAAAAGAAGCACAGTGTTAAAGGATTCATGAACTGGTTACCTGTATTTTGGCTTCACTTCTACCATTGGTGGTGTATTATCCATGTTTGCAGCATCATCCTTTTCCTCAACAAAAGAAGCAACAGAGGGGGCAGCTGCTCCATCTTCAGCCTTCTTAACAGGGACTTCACTAAGCTCCTCTGAAAAGAAAATGCACAGCATCAAAGTATGAGAAAGATGTCTCGTGCATACATTTCACTTCAACTTACAGGACTGCTGTGGATATTCATCCCAGAGGACAAATATGTGTGAAAATGCATACTATAATATGGTAGTCTCACGTAATGGTATGCCCCAGGTAAAAATATAACACAATACTGCAAATGTATTAACCAAGCAATGGACTCAAAGGGACAGCTTACCAGCAATGCGCTCATCACACTCCTTCATTAGGCGAGTAAACCTTGAGTCACCAGATGCGAACGAGTAACCCAATTCAAGAGCTGCTTTTGCAGTTTGATACTCCTCCAGTCGTATACATGCAGCGCTAAAGATCATTTGCTTATCAGCCATCATAATAAATTAATGTGCCTAGTCTTTTTTCATAACATTAAATAATTTAGTCAAGACTGACCCTTTACGAAGATAAGCCTTGTGCATTGATGGGTCAAGTTCAATGGCCTTGTTAGCATCAGCTACAGCCTCTGCAAGACAAAGTGCAATTTGTTGCTTTAATATGAAACAGCATGATAATGTCTTTGCAAACAAAACAAAATAAACATGCAGCTAAGTCATTTTAGCACCAGCACCCTTATACTGAGGTATTTTAAGATATAGCAGTGCTGATAATTTAGGGCTACAGGCTACAAAACAACTTACAGCTATTACTGATAAGGATGATTAATGCCTTGTTTGGCAATAAAATTTTGCAACATTTCGGACAGAATTGTCAAAGATATGTGCAACCTGACAAATTTTTACAAAGATCAGAACCAAGGGGAATGATCAAACACTAGTCCAACCTGACTTTTTTTTACAAAGATCAGAACCAAGGGGTTTTCTGCTGGCAAGCAGCAAGTTGTCGCCAGATATCATTTTAGCACCAGCACTCTTATACTAATTCAATACTATGATAACAGACAGAAAACAGTAATCAGCAAACATGCAGGAGTATAGCATTTCCTTGAGTTGGCAAATTTAGCTGGGAATTCTCAGTAAGTAATAGCTGAACAATAACAACAGGTAGACCCATCAAAATCTGCCACGGCTAACTATTGCTCTAAAATAAGAGTAGACCTACTCTCCTACATAGCTAGCTAAACAGTCAAGCACACATATCTTTATAAATTTCTTGTTTTATCTTACTTTGTAAATCAAAAGGAACAGGCAAGATCAGCACACTAAGGAGTTAAATTTGATTGTTTCATCAAATTTTAAATATCTGTTTTTGTTTGCTATATGCAATCATTAGGCATGATATGCGGTGCAGATGAAATTTGGATATATAGAACAAGGGAAATTTTAAACAATCATTAACATGCATCATCTTGGATCATTAGTTGTCAATTTTTTCTACAGCGCACACCAGCTTTGTCATATACTCCCTCCGGTTCTATATTAATTGACATTTTGAACAAGATTGATGTCAAACTTTTATAACTTTGACCATCAATAACTTTAAAAATATTTAGTTTAAAGGAACTAGAACAACATATATAGATTTGTCTTTTAAAGCACTATAATAAAAGTAAACATGCATTTATTTATTATATATATTATAATAGAAAAATAAGATCAAATATATATCTTGTAGACCGTGTCATTGTCCAAAACATCAATTAAAATGAAACCAGAGGGAGTACAATAACTAGAAATAAACAAGCAACTAAGTATGGTTCACTTAATGAAGTCTGACTTCCATACAAAATGGTTAGTGGGTTCAATCAAGTATACTTTAACAGTTGAACAATACTTTCTCATCCTTTGATTTTTAACTACTCCAAATATCTCTCACGCTTCCAAACTCAATTTACCCCCTACCAATTCACTACTGCGCACCATCATCATTCATGCTTGACGTAAATCATTTAAAAGCCCTCTGAATTGTGCCTAGGATTCTGGTCAGAAGTGTCAAGTGTTTAGAAAATGGAGTATAGCAAGTCAACTCTCACCTATCGAACAGATTTCCCCAGTCCAATAACCCCCGACCTAGACCAAATCCAAATCACACAGTACGGCACGCGAACGGAATGGTTCGAATTCGAAACATGGTATTTGTGGCGTCCTCATATCCCCCACAAACAACTATGCTGCTTCTTTCGACTAGGATGGTACCTGCCACAATGCAGCTATGCCCTCCTTGCGCTCAATATCTCCTCCTATCAGCAAGTCAACTGTCACTAATAAAACTTATTTTGGCCCATCCCATGACCTTCACCCTAGATCCTTCTCCAAATCACGAAGCGCGATCACACACACGCACACGAATTGCTTGAACACGCAAAACAAACACCGGTTTGACGTAACTCCCGCAAATAGGCGCAACAAACCACGAATCAAAAACGCACAAAACCACACACCCCACGCCTCACGATCTCATCTACATCCACACAGACTCCCCAGACCACCACCACCACCACCGCACACACGGCAAACCAATCTAATCGAAGGAAGGGGAGGAAGGGGGAGATTGCGAGAGATGGATTACCAGTGTAGTTGCCTAGCTTGATATGGGCCTGGGCGCGGTCGGCGTAGAGCTCGGCGGTGGCGGGGCTGGCCTCGATTGCCTGCGTGTAGAGCTCGGCGGCGAGCTCGAAGTCGTCGTCGACGAAGGCCGCCTTGGCCTTGCTCTCCAGATCCGACGCGGCGGCGGTTGCCATGGCGGCTTGGCTTTTGCGGCTGCGGTGAGGAGGCCGGGGGATGCGGGTGGGGGAAGACCAGACGAAGACTTCGCGGAGGGGTAGAATAAGATCACGGTGAAAGGCCTTTTTAAGGGCCCGTGTGGCGAGTTTCTAGAGAGTTCGATGCGGGAGAGGCCGGGCCGACGCTTGGAATTTCATTTTTCTTCTCTCTCTTTTTTTCTTTGCCTTTTTTTTTCTCTTTATCTTTTTTTTTCTTTCGTGTGGGTCAAGTCGTCTCTCTGGTGGTTTGTTTTTTGTTATCCGGAAGCCAGGAAGTTTCCGGAATCATTTGGGTTTCATTGATGTTTAAGCGTTGCAAGTTGTGTGTTTAGTGCACTTATTCGGATTGTGATTAGGAAGCGACTACTAGCTGGCAGACCATCCTCCCTTGTCATCATGGTCTCATACTCTCATGTGGCGTTGAGAATTTGAGATCAATATCCAAAGTTCTAAGCGGGTTTTCCTGGTGGCTGGTGATCAAGTCGGTGATATGGATAATTCCCGTCTCCCGATCACAGCCACAAGCCATGCCAAAATTCAGCGTGTCGATCGGAGTGTCTGAATTCGTAGAAGTTACCACGATTGTGGAACTCAATTTCAGAGGACTTGTATCAAAAAGTAGCACACTTTTCGGTAGGAGCCACTAGTGAGTACTACTCCCTCCGTCCCAAAATATAAGAATCTAGAACTGGATGTAAAATTTACATGTCCAGATTAGTAGTACTAGAAAATATCACATCCAGTCCTATGTTCTTATATTTTAAAACGGAGGGAGTATCTATTTGCATAGAGCAAACTTTTTTTTAAAGATTAAGGTGGCAGGAGCTCTGCCGACTATATTAGAAGAAGTAAAACAAAAAACAAACAAACAGGTCCGAGAGTATATATTACATAAACATTACAAAACAGAAATTAATAACTTTAGGCCATGTTTACTTCCCACCTGGAACGTTTGAACACATACATAAAGTAGCTAAAAAATTAACTAATTGCACAGATTGTGACTAATTTGCGAGACGAATCTTTTAAGCCTAATTGCTCCATGATTTGACAATGTGGTGCTACAGTAAATATAATTAAAGGAATAGAAAAAGGAGCATCCACGTTCGCTCTCATGGCCTACAAATTCTCACATTAATCGGAGAAAAAAAAACAGAGTCCATATAGAAATACAATTTAGAAATAGCTGAAATTCGGAATTAAAAAATAAAGAATATTAAAAGAGGAGACTAGAGTCCATATAGAAATACACTTTAGAAATAGTTGAAATTTGGAATTAAAAAATAAGAAATATTATAATAGGAGTATAGAGTTCATATAGAAATACAATTAGGAAATAATAGAAATTCGGAATTAAAAATAAGGAATATTAGAAGAGGGGTATAGAGTCCATATAGAAATACAATTAGGAAATAATAGAAATTCTGAATTAAAAATAAGGAATATTAGAAGTAGAGTATAGAGTCCATATAGAAATACAATTAGGAAATAACCAAAATTCGGAATTAAAAATAAGAAATATTAGAAGTAGAGTATAGAGTCCATATAGAAATACAATTAAGAAAAAAATAGAAATTTGGAATTAAAAAATAAGGAATATTAGAAGTAGAGTATAGAGTTCATATTGGAATTTAAAACCAACTAAAATTCAGAATAAAAAGGAGCCTCCACGTTCGCTCTCATGGCCTAGAAATTCTCACATTAATCAGAGAAAAATAAAAAGCAGAGTCCATATAGAAATACAATTTAGAAATTGCTGAAATTCAGAATTAAAAAATAAGGAATATTAGAAGAGGAGACTAGAGTAGTTATTACACATTAGTAGTTTTGAAAAGTTATTGCAAAATTTAAAATTATGTTGTCATTGTAATATATTTTATAATAATATAATGAGAAAACATATATGCTTTTATATGAGAAAATATAATGATGCTAGCCGCGCAATCTACGCGGGCCACCATGCTAGTTTTGCTAATGATGAATTAATTAGGCTTAATAAATTCGTCTGCGGCTTACTGATGGATTCTGTAATTAGTTTTTTTATTAGTGTCCGAACACCCTATGCGACACTCTATATAATATCTGATATGACACACCAAAACTTTACAACTCTAAAGCTATACAACCCCTTAGACACAGAGTAAAAGAGGCTAGTAGCTGACTGGAAGCGTAAACGCAAGTACGCTTTGTTCTAGGTCTTCTATGATTAAGTTTATTGTCAGCTTCCTTGAATTCTCCCTGAAAAATTCTACTATTTCGTTGCAACTAGATATGCCACCAGGTTGTGAGTAGTGCCCCCGTCCTCTGGCGGGATTGTGCCTTTGTGGCGCTGTTTGTTATTTGAATCACCCAATCTATAATATTTTGGGCTTGTGCAGCCACGGACAGTGGTGGATCTAGAAAGAAATAACAATGGAGTATGAGTAAACTAGATAGCAATAGAGTCTCAATAAACTAGATAGAGTTACTAGATAGAGTTACAGTTCCCCCTTTCATCTACATATGGTAAAAATTTTAGTAGGGTTTTTTTTGGAGACTCTTATAGTTTTCACGCCAATAGTGAGGGTTCGAGACCCGCCATCCCATGCTAGATCCGCCCCTGGCCAGAGGATTCCTTCTTTTTAGTGAGTGTATTCCAGACTTGTCTTGTGTATGCGCAGTCACGGTACAGGTGGTCTACATCCTCAAAAGCTTCTCTGCAAAGGGAGAAAATCCAATCACAGGCCAATGCCTAATTAACAAGTTTTCTTCTATTAGGGTCTTTTGGTGCAGGATCAGCCAGCCCATGAAGCGTTGCTTTAGCTGTGCCGGCGTTTCCCAAACCGTGGTCACGAACTGTGTTTGTATTTGCATAAAACAAACTTAAAATATATATACCACTTCACAAAAATGTTGAGTCTAAACTTCACTCACATATCAATATTATTTTCTAAAAGAAGTCTAGCATTACGCATTTACTGTAATATTTATGCTCAGATTTATCTTTTCTTTTCTTAATATGTAGGTCAAATTTAAACTTAATTTTTGTGAATTAAATAAGTCATTACACTGCACATCATTAATTTTTTATACAACCATTTGCACTTGAATTTGCATTAATTCATTTTTGGAGTTTGAAATAACCAACACTCAATTAATCATGTGTTTATCTCGTTTTACGTATCTTATCATTTTTTTTCTTTTCATGTTCTATCAAACAAACCCTTTAGAACAGATACAATAACAGACTATAAGACAGCTATAAACACATATTGAGGAGATAAAAGAAGAGAGAGATAAGCAGCAGGCTATAAATCTGTAGCCAACTGCAATACGGACTATAAGACACAATGTGTGTATGACAGGTGGGACCAGATAATATGTGTATGACAGGTGGGACCAGATATTAATAATGTACTATATATTTATAGGTAACTATTGCATGAATTAACTATTAAATTGGTTGTAGATAATTTGGAGCTAGTGGTTGACTAGTATACAATTAAACTTGCTCTTAGTGAGCGAAGGTTGTGTTATCTAGTCTAAGTTCATAACTCATCTCTTATTTTCTGTATACACGTTTTCTAAATTGGTAACAATTTATAAGATAGTCCGATGGATGATGGGTCTATTCGCTGCAACTTTTCGGCAGCTGCAGCCGTTACAGTGACTATATTGTTTATACACATTGGTACTGTTGATGTAGTTGCAACTGCTGCAGCAGCAAGCTGCACCGAACAGAGCCGATAAGTCCAATGGATGAGAAGTCCGATGGGTATGCAATCTATCGAATGATTGTTCCTGTGAACTTTTATGGGGATGTTTTGCAAACTAGTATAATGGGTATAATGGGTTTATAGATGTTATTGTTCCTTCCAATGCCTAAGATTAGACAAATCGTCACAACCACAATTTGTGAGCAGATAAGAAACACGGTTGCATGGGCTGATGGGCAGCATCACCAGAGCCTGCCAAGAAAATACAGGGCCGGAGTACACATATCGAAGATTGGCACCAACTAGCTAGTATAATCTGAGCAATCCTAACGCCAATTAAATGGAGCAAACAGCAAACAACTGACAATGCTGCAACAAGATTTTCACCGTACGTACATTCCTTATTACACGCAAGTTAAATTAACAAACCACTTGGGCTATGCCCCGATGAATCAGAAAGGTTTTCAGAAGAGGAGGTCCCGGAAGGTGGGGAGCTTCATCTCACCCTCGGTGGCGAGCGGGATGGTGAAGCTGCCGACGACGGGGAGGTCGATGGTGATCCCGACCTCCAGCACGTAGTCGATGTCCCAGTCCCCGCTCACGTCCTTGATCAGCGACACGATGAAGTCGTACGGCACCTTCACCGGCAGCTCCAGATTTGTCGTCCCGCTCGCCGCGATCCACCCTGGGTCAGGCATCGTGCCGGACGCTATCACCCTGCAAAAATTGACGCAAATCGCGCGAGAACCAGCCAGCTGACTCTTTTTTAATTTGCTTCGGATAATTTGAACACGAACTAACTGGATGCGCCGGCTAACAATTATGTAAATAATGCACGCACTTGTCGCCGCTCTTGAAGGTGTAGGTGAGCTCGCAGATGGGGATGCGGTGCGAGTAGGGGTTGTTGACGTCGAGGTGGCTGTGGAGCGTGATGCACTCGCGGCTGACGCCCTTGAAGGAGACGCGGTCCAGCGTCGCGTCGGGCTTGGGGATTTTCGCGATCTTCTCCGCCACGAACCCCTTGGCCCTGTCCACCAGCCCGCCCACCCCGCCTCGCTCCCGCCGCTCCTCCTCTCCACCTTCCCCATCGTCCCGCTCCTGCCGATCTCCTCTCTCCTCCGCCGCGCTCATCCTCTCGCTCGCGCGCGCGCACGTCGTGACGGATCGGTACACGTCTCTGTTGCTCGTCGCGGCTGCTGCGCTCTCGCGTACGCGCGGCGTGTTCTGCCTGCGTTACCATTCCGGCCGTGTGCATGCGCACGGGTCGCGGGCTCGCGGCTAGGCGCGACACGCGGGGAGTGTGTCTGTGTGTGTGGATCGATGCACGCATGCGCGCGCGCGCACTGGTGCACGGCCACCACGGAAACGTTTGGTCCGCGAAGCGTGCACTGCGCGCGGCCTGTACGGCAGATCGGGCAATGATTGTTTACGCTGTCTTGCGCGAAACCTGGGAATAAAGCGGCGCAGGGAGCTGGAATCTTTGGACGTGAGATCCAAGGCAAGCTCGCGTGAGGGAGGGACCACTGTTCGTGTTGGGTGATTGGGTCGGCCGCTTTGTAAGATCGAAACAAATCTGCAAACCAGGGCCCGGGGGATTGTGGGCTTGTGATATTATTGTGTACATGGGTGGGTACAAACGAAAACAAAAATATAAATGAGAAAAAAAATGAAATTGAAAATGATTTTGCTTCAAACTAACCATATCCGACTTTTATTCTTATGGTAATTACCATATTTCATATTATGATAATTATCGTATTTCTAAATATGCATTTATGATCTATTTTCTTATTTGACATAGTTTAGAGGTCTATCAACTTCACAACCAAATCCTTAACTCGAGTACAAGATTAAAAGAAGATAATTTATAATTTACATAGCATAACCTTGAATTTATTTTAACATATTATATAGTTATGCAAAGTTAAATGTGTGATTTTATAGTTCAATATTTCCAATATTTGTTATGGCTTCCTATTGATACTGATATGTTTCTGTTCGTATAGTTCATTTCTGGTTTTTTAATTGTTTTTGTTTCCGCTTTTACCATTTTTTATTCAGTTTTTGGGAAAAAAACATGGCTATGGAAATAATCGAGATATTTTCCAACCGTTTTCATCCCTAATTGTGCAGCAGCAAACTAGGTGATCAAATCTGCAAGGGAGAAATGGATTCACATGAATTGAAGAGTGTACTTCCTTTAATAAGAAAAAGAAAAGCAAACATGCATCTGATGTCCACATTGTTTTGGTGTTGGCGCATCTCATTGTTTACTGTTTAAAGTGATTATAGCTGGTCATTTTCTGAAGAGAATAGTGATCTCTGAATTCTGGGCCGAACTGTCATATGTTGCATATTATGGCCGAGAACATGATGAGTTTGAACTACAGAAACAGAGCATAAGGATCACATCTTTTGCCTATAACGTATATGCCAATGTTAAAATTTAAATTTTAAAACTTACTAGTTGATTTTGAGATATTTTATTATATTTCATTTTTCAGCATTGATGTTTAAGTTATTTGTAAAAGTTTTAATTATAAATTATTTTTTCGCTAATACACTCTTTGGTGTATTATCCGTAATTGGCCAATCGATGGCATAGGATGAAGAAAATCTTCTAGCGTTGCGCTGCTCCGGGCCCAATACAGAATGGGGCTCAAAATGGATCGCGTTATCAGCCTCCATATACTTAAAATGGGCCTTCTGCAAATGGGCGTCTGACTTTCTGACTTGTAAACTCATAGATCGTTTTTTGTTCCATTTTCTCATGTAGTAGAACCCGTTCATGATTACAGGCTTTCAGCGTTGATCAACAAAACGTTCTTGCCCTCTTGATAAATGATAATCGACCGACTTGCCGCATTTGCGGATTGAGGGCTGCTATATACCGAAATCCCACTCCAAAATGGGATGAGGTATCGGGTGATACTTATCAGGTATCATGTGATACTTGCGAGGTATCATATGGTACCTATCAGGTATAATACGATTCTTACCACATAGAAGGAGATAATTGCGAGGTATCATGTCCTATAACCTAACCGGTATAGGGTGATACTTATAAGGTATCATGCGATTCTACCACGTATCAGATGATACTTGCGAGGTATCAGATGATCCTCGTCGTCTCCACTGCACCGCATGCCCATTCCTTCCCCCGGCGGCGCTCCACCACCACCAATGCATCGGCGCCCCAGCAGCAGGAGGAAGGATCCCTTGGAGTACAAGGAGTACATCGTCCTCCTGAGGCCGTGGCCGGACGCTGCCACCACCGGCATGGACGATGACGGCGCGTAGTGGAGCTAGTACATGCCCTTCCTCCCCGGCAACAGCACTGCTGGCGGCAAGCCGCAACTGGTCCGCTCGTACAAGCACATCGTTGACGGCTTCACCGCAATCGCTGTGTCCAAGAAGCCCGACTTCCGACGCTGCTTCCAGGACGGCATCGCTTGCTTGCATTGCTGGTTTAAACAGGAAGGAGGATGGCAACCTTGCCTGATCCGGCCATGGTGACGACACGCTATGCGCGCGGCGAGAGCACTCGAGGCAGAGCTGCTGCGGATGCACCAGGGCAGAGGCAACGGCGACGCGCCGCCTGCGCGGCGGAGTTCGGTGAGGTGGGAGGACGCGAGGGACGACGACGCCGCCATTCTCTCTCCAATCCAATCCCTTCGTCTCGCGCTGCAGGGTGGACGACACGGTGGACAAAAGTGGATCCTATCCCGTCCCGACGGGATCCCGCTGTTTAGCATTTATGTTGCGGATTTATCGGCAGCATCAAGTATTAGCCATTTTGGACTCGGTTCGTGTAATATGTTTTCAATAGGTTGTTTGGAACAAAGAAATGTCGACCAAAAATTCGTTGAAAGCTCTCGTACTATTTATCTATTTAAAAGAGATTGGAAATTTTAGAGGATAATGACAAGGAGGGCCTATACAGCCATTCGCTCGCCCGCGTAGCCTCCCGCACAGGTGACCCGGGTGGAAACCCTAGCCGCCGCCGCTGCCGCCCCCCTCCCCCAACCCATCCCTTGCCTCACCGCCGCTTGAGCGAGTGGCTGGCAAAGCCGACGGCCTGCAAGGACAGCGGTAGCAGGGCTCGCGGCTGCGACCACCATAGTTCCAGCGCGGGCAAGTCCATGGTGGAAGCTGGCCGAAAAGACGACAGCGTCGAGGCGGGGTGCCGGCGCTAGCGGGGCACCTGGATCTGGCACCCCCCACGTCGGATCCAGCCGTGGCGATGGCGACAGAGGACCAGTGGCGCTGGCGGCGACCGTGGCTGCGGCGGCTGTCTGGCGTCGTGGCCGTCAGATCTGGGCCACGACGTTGACTGCGGCGGTAAGCTGCGGGTGGTGGCATCAGCGGGGAGGCGTGGGAGATTGCGGTAGGCGGCGGCAGGAGCGACGGCGGCGCACGAAGGAGCAGGCGCCTGGCCGGCAGCAGGCGCGACGAATGTGCTGGCCGGTGGGGCTGGCGGCCAACACGGTGAAGGAGACTCGGCCGGCGCCGGCTAGGCGAAGGAGGTGTGGCCGGTAGCGGTGCAGCGCGAGGAGGAGTGGCCGGTGGCCGCGGAGTGAGGAGGTGCGGCCATGGCACGCCGAGGACGGCCAGTGCGCGAGGGCCTCCGCAGCGGGAGGTGAGGCTGGTGGAGGTGGAGCCAGTGAGGTGGTAGCACATGGAGATTGGCCGGCGGGGGGCACCGGTGCAATGGTGCCCACGTGCCAACGGAGGCTTAGATGACGATGGAGCAATGGTACACCTGTGGTAGATCGGTAGGTGATGGATGGCGTGTGAAAACCTAGCCTGGTCTTGACCGGGCTGGCAATGATGATGTTCGAGCGTCATTCCCCTCCTGGGAGCGTTGTTGTGTTGTCTCATCCCTCAAGTGTGGTTGCCTGGCGAAAGCCCAGTCTCGGCTCTCTTTGAGACCTTGACGGACGGCGGTGGCGGTGTTTTTCGTCACTTCTCTCCTTGGCGACGTCGTTTAGGCACCTCCTTGCCGAAACCCCCAACCAATTGGTGCAACCTTGCTCTAAATTTCATGCTCTTGTAGTGACATCCTAGTTTCTATAAGTTGGCCACGTCGGAGGGCCTTAGGGGGAGAGGAGTTCCATTCTTCTCTCTCACCCTCTCTCCCTAACTCCTGAAGACTTGGATAGAGTGGGGCTTTGTGTTGGTTGTAATGGTTTAGGTTTTGGGCGATCTCGGCTGTGTTCCGTTGTTGGCCTAGCGGCGGTCGTTCACGCTTAGCAGCGGCTGGTCCGGTGCTAGCCTTCTCCTGTATCTGTGAGTTGGCACTGTCAGTGTATGGGTAGTGGTATACCTTTTTCCTTTTCCTGGTTACGACCTTTCAAGTTTGTAATCTTGTAATTTTTTTTCTTGTTCTATCCATAGAATTTCGCACCATATCGTGCGAGTCGTTAAAAAAAAGGGAGAGGGGGGAGCATACATGTTTGGAAAGATAACAGCAGGGGGGTTTCCAGAAGGGATTAAATATTAAACATCTACTAATGCAGTCGCTTCCATCATTGTAGAAGAATAAAACGGTGGGACATAACACGACGCGAAAACAAACTCCAACCCTATCCACCATTGTCCCCATGGACCCCCATACTGTTTCTTGCTGCTAATAGCAGCTAACTTCGTAACTGGATAGGGACGCTAACTCCCCGCCGATTCCTGTAATGTAAAATATAATCTTGTTTATACTAGTACTGTTTTTTAGGGGGACATACTCAACAAATACCATATTCACGGTACCAATCAGGCACACTCACTCATGTACTGATGCACATGCATCTAGTACACATGTTCGAAAATTACGAGACACCAAATCCTATGTGAGCGCCGCAAGGATGCATGCATACCCAGACATACGCAATTATGCATGTTCATCTCTCTCAGAAACAGTGAACATGAATAATTTCTCTGTTTCACGTTATAAAACGTCTGGGGTTTTTAATATATTCATGTATGAATGTATGTATGAGTTTGAATTTATATGCATATCAGCGAATTTAGACGAGCATCTTATAGTGTGGATCGGAGGGAGTACTAGATATCCATGTTTGATGTTTCTAAAAAAGAAAAAGAAAGAACATAACCATGTTTGATGTAAAATAACATCACCTGACCATTTGGATACTATTTTTTTGAAAAAAAAATGATCATGTTCCTACTCCTACCTCTATGAATGAAAGGAACAAACCCACTGCTTATTTTTTTTCTAGGAGAACACGGAGACAGAGAGCGTCTCAACCTCCGGACTCCAGAGAGGTTTCTTGTGCTTGCAGGGCCACGTTGAGGATTTGCCATTGGCCCTGTTTTGATCCAAGGGTTAGAGTTAGTT